TATATATATATATATATATATATATATATATATATATATATATATATATATATAATTATCTGTATATAATTATATTTAATTTTTTTTCAGTTTCATAATATTTTAACATGACTACTTACGTTATTTTGTTAGTTGTAAATGTATAATGAATAATGCCAAATTGTTCTTCCAAAGGATAGTTGAATTTTAAATACAACTTATATTTTGCTGTAGTTAAATTTCCATAAAAAAACAGGGCCAAAATCTGAGCTTCATCACATCTTTTAAGCTCCTTGAAACTATATAAAAAAATCTCCCTGTCATCCTTTTCCCCCATATATCGCATGAGTAACATAATTCTTGTGTGTTGAGAGTTCACATCCAATCCGTGAGAATGTAGATGAATAATGTTCGTTGATTTCCGCACACGAAACGTGATACCTGACATGCCTAATATAATTTTGTCTTGGATCCTTACATCGAGTTCAATATCATATTTTATCGGGGCTACTATACTGAGCGGTAAAAGTCCGGAAATATTTGAACAATATTCTTTATCTTTCACATTGGTAGCATCGATAGTATTGGCAATATCAGCTAATTTAACGGTGAAGATCAGGACGACACGTAAGAGTAGTTTCAAAGATACTACTCGCATTTTTGCAATATCTACACTAAAAATTTAATTAGTATTGGAGAAAATTATTTAATACATATAAAATATAATATACGTGACACATTCTTCTACATAGTTTTAATTTTTGTTATAACAAAAATGTAAAAAAGGAGGTAGGCGAAGTAGTCAGAGCTCTCTTAATCAGAAGATTTGTTATATTATATGAACACTTATTTTTTAAGCGAAATATACGCAAAAAAATCTCGGTGCAACTAAATAGGAACTGAAAATTAGGTAATCAAAAGCGATATATATCTCTGTCATGAAAACTAATATTTCTGTTGTCACAACCGAAAATATTTATCTGAACATTCATTGGGACTCGGTTGAGGCAACTAAGAATGCTTGACTATACGGAAATTTCATAAAAAAATTTTTCTGTTCCTACAGCCCAGTTTTCGCCTGATTCTTGAGCAACCGAAAATTCGATTGAACAAACGGAATTATTTTTCCGTGTACGTAAACATTTTTATATTCTGCTAAGCTCGAAAAGCAAAGGCAGGTTTGAAGGAAAACAAAACGACGGTAACTGTTAAATATCAGAGGCACCTTGAATAATATTTTGGAAAGATTAAACACGCAGAACTGTGTATACAATATGTATATAAACGCGTTATCGTTTACGCACTTTGAAATCTAATAATTAAGAAATCTGTTACTATATGCGGATATGCGATATGAATATGTTTTCGATGAAAAACAGAAAAATTTTCCAGGTTTGTTCAAGAGAAATATATAAAATTTTATTTAGTATTCTTAACCGCTTGTTCGAAAAACGTAATTTTAATCTCCACTGAGCTATATATTATATATATTATATATTATTATATATTATTATATATAATTATATATTATTATAATCAATACACGTCAATTGTTTTAAGTTTCTAAATTCGGGTAATCTGAAGCTCTTGTGTCTTACCTTATCGACAATTCATTGCAAACTAGCTAGAATACCAATACTTACGTTTTTATAAGAGAGACCGGGTCTAGAATGTCCTAGGGTTGTATTGTTTATATGCTTTCTTTAATAAAAAATCGCGAGATGGTGATAAGATCTTTATTATCTTTAGGATAAAATCTTTTAGAATATTTTCCCTGAGTTTTATTAAAATCGGAATAAAATTATAATATATAATATTCTTAACTATAAGAGATAAGAAAGAACTGAGCTGGCTAAGTATAAATTTTTTAACTTTTCGAAATTTTGTATTAATGTTCTCCATTGTAAGTGAATAAAGTTAAACGACGTGTTACAAGCTAGAATGAAGTTTCTCACATATACTGTATGATATACTGTTTTAGATAAATGCTATTTCGGTACTGCTCTCCGATAGAGAAAATTACTATAACAATGTATTCTTCTAAGAAAATTTAATTTACTAAGATATTATGACAATATTTTATTAATAATAACAATTTTGATTATATATCGGCTACTTTTGTTTTCTTGCTTCGAAAATACTTAAAATAACAATAGTTACTGGCTTACTCTCTACATATATGCAAACAAAATCTATTTTATATAATTACATAAAAGAAGGTAAATTACATACAGGATGCCAAAAAAACAAAGAGTATTAGATCAACATTTCGAAATATTGCTTTCATGTGTATCTATTAAACGTTCTTTTACTTAATATTTTACAAATATTTCAAAAATATTACCGGATAATATGATCTCTCTTTGAATATTACAACAAAGTTTTAGAAATATTGAGTTACGGAAGCCTCTCCTAACAATATTGTAATGTTATTTGTAGTGACATGAAAAATTAAAAAGTAAGAAATTATACGTTATTGAATATTGTTGCAATAACTAAATTCTATCGATATTTTTGTTGAATAACTAACGAAGAGATCTTTCAAACAAGCCATAGTAGCAAATTTCCCGCACAAAAAATACACATTTACTTCAATCCGCCTATAACCATTATTTTATGGCCATTATCGTTTGTTAAAACGCAGGTTACACATAGAAAATATAAATAATTACAAAGTATAAGATAAAAGGCTCTCCGACAAATAAATATATTTTGAAATGTAGAAGATTCATAGCATTAAATGCTGGTAACCGATATTGATGCAGTTTTTCTCATAAATAACTCTAAAATAAATTTAACGTAACACACCGTAAAATTGTACAATTAAAATTAAACTGATATCAATTACAATTAAACTGTTACTAATTAAAATTTTTTAAAGCAATACACAAAGCAATACATTTTTTTACATTTTTATTAAAACAAGATCGCACAAGAGAAAAAATATTAATAAAAATACAATATTAATAATAATACAAAGTAAATATAATAACAATACAAACTCGAAAACCTCGTTAATTTATAGTTTTTTATATCAGGAATTTCTCTGAAAAATACACACAATTTATATATTGTAATTATGATTAGTGAATATAAATTACATTATGTAAAACATGTGTTTGACATCAATATGTGTAACTCTCTACGAAAGAGCACATGATATAGTTTCCGAATTAACATTCCGAATTAACATCATTTATAGTTTAGAATTCCTTCACTTATATCACTGGAATCAGACAGTTTTAATTTCTCTATCGATATTGATTTCTGTGTCGAATTGTAATAAAATCGATTTATTCTTGTAGCCTTAAAAGAAGCTGAACTTGCTGATTACTTTCGCCATTTGTTTCTTTTGCCACAATATCAAGCGGTTAACAGTACATTTCAAACAGTGATCTGTCCACAGGCTGAGATCCTTTGCAATATATTTTTCTATCTAAAACGGATGATTTTGATATTAATAAACAATGAATGCACACATCTATATTTCTCATGCAAATTTGCTCTTAAATTCCTATGTTCTGTGTACACGTGTGTAATCTCTCCTGTTCTATATTATTAATAAAAAATTTAAAATGATTATTTTAATTAACGAAACATTAAAAAGTTAACATATTATTATCGATTCATTATTTGTATATTATTATGTTGAGATGTATCAAAATTATTATAATGAAAGCAATTTAACACATACAATGCATACAAAGATAAATAAAATTATTTAAGAAATAAAAGTAAATAATTTAGACGGAGAGAGAAATATTTAACAACGTATAAAATTTACCTTGTCCAGATCTTCAGTAGAGTACATATTCAGAATTATGTGAGCAAGTGTTATGGTGTCATTTATAGCACGTCTATAAAAAATTATAAAAGGGAACATTCGATTGATTATTATATGGTGCAAATAAACCTACGATGATTAGTAGCGTACATGTATTAATAAATAAGAATTACTTAGATTTTATTATGATAAAATTGTCCAAGATATGTTTAAGTACGGCGGGCTTGTTTGCATTCCTCTTCACAATATCATAATATATATCTTTCCAGGATATTTTTTTGTTTTGATAAAGTAATAAATCCAGTAATAAATCCAAATAATATATAATGATATCTTTATTTTCAGAACAAGCCAAAAGTCGTAATATATTATTATCATATTCGATCATGGCCTTATCCAGAATCATCCTCCACTGTGTCATGTTTAGCGTCTTTATCCCAACACAAAGTACCATGTTCTTCCATAGAGACTCTATTTCATGCTCGTCACTGTGAGAAAAATTTGATTAATTTGAATTAAATTATTTTCAGTTCCGCATATTATTTGTGCATATTATTTTACTATCATAAGAATTAAATTAAATCTCTTAACAAAAATTAATTTTCTCGTTTCTCGACATTCAGATTCATGACTCATGACAATATTCATAAATCATGAATAATAAGATCAACAGTAATACGTAAATATATTAACAAAAAAACGAAATTATAATTATGGTTATTACGTTTTCATGTGTGAGTTAGATATACGTGTCATTAATTTAATGCTGGCATCTTCTATGCACTCCTTATGGCCGAAGGTACAGGCCCAACCTTTTGCTATTAGTCTCAATGATGTAACGGCGCCTTCTTCATCTGTTGGAAAATCTTTCAAACCTATATTCTTAAGGAGTCCGTCTAGGATTTCTATAATGTGGTCCTACAAGAGATGTTTCTTAGTTTCTCGCTAGCCTCATCACACATACCAAGGCATTATCTACGTGCAAATATATACCTAATTCCAAAATCTTTTCTTTCCACTTTACATATTCCTATAACTTGCAAAATATCGATCTTTTTCGATAACCGAGTCTGTTAACTAATAGCTGATTGGATTTGTTAACGAAACTTGCTACTACTTACTTTCACAAATGCGCTCTCCGGATATTTAAGAAGATAAGTCGACATTGACAAAATAATGTTGAACATTGGATACCACGCTATATAATCAGTTTCCCGTTTTAAATATCTAATAATATCTAAGAAGATAGTAGACTCGAGTTCGCCCTTACTCGCGAAATAATACGAATCACTGATCAGTTGAGCTCGATTAAGAACTGGTATAAGTTCATAACTGTCAAATTTTAAGTACAAAGCAATCTTTTCCCAATTTCTGCTGTTGTAATTCACACGATAGTAACCTGTCATGCAAAAAGTTAAGAATATTATGATGCAAACTTTTTTTCATTGCGTTTATCGATTAACATTTTTTAAAGATCATGTCTCTTCTTTCTCTTTGCATGTTTAGTTGAAATATACAATACAAAATTCAAATCACGCATATCTTTCAACGTACCGCGAATTACACAGTGTCATTATAGAGAGATTTTTTAAATAAATTAATTGTTTTATGAAATTTATATATTATAATCGAAAATTTTATTCACATATATAATTTAAGTAATTAGTTAAATTAATTATTTCAAGCGATGATACATATCGCGGACTTGTAATAAACTTCACAACTATAACAGTAGTACCAAATACTTCACATAATATTTTGCAAATGCCGCTATGTGTCTAACTATATACCGTATTATGTTTTTTGATAAAAGTTGTAAACATATGTATATGTTTATATGAAACTTAAAACTTATTATGAAATAATTAAAGAAACGTGGTAAGTTTATCAAGCTCTACTCACCAATTTGTTGTAAGTTGACTAAGATGAAATCATTTGGTTCAATGTCAGAAATAGTTACTTCCTGATAATAATTTAACCATTCAACATTACCTAAAGTAAAAATTATAAGATCTGACTGTGTAATATACGTTATAGGTATCTGCCATGTGACATCAAGGTTAAATGCTGATAAAGAACATACTACAGTGCCATTAAAATTACGTTGAACGTACACCTCAGGATAATGTTCTTGCCTTAGCCATGTATCCATTATTTTACTTATTGTATAGTTCTCTTTGTTTATCGAATGGTAAGCATTTTGCATAGCTTCCCATAAGTCATGAGTTCTGTCGAAATATCATTAATAGCTGAAGACTTAAACTTTTACGTTAAGAATAATTTGTGATTTTCGCAATTAGTTAAATCGGAGAATACACAGTGAAACGTCTGTCTAAACAAGATGGCTATCTTCTATAGAAAATCTTTTAAAACCAGATTTCTGAACTATGAGATAATCTCTGCTGAGAAAATATAGAGATTTAGAAGATAATTTTGTAACAAAGAATGGTTTGTATCACAGAACTGGATTTACCCAAATAGCACAAAATATTCTATAAATTTTCTTATGAAATAATGTTCTTAATTCCACAATATTAAAGTTGAATTTTCCATGAATATATACGTATAATATTGTACATATAATAATACAGATGAATTATCATCATTGTGAACGTAAAATTCTTGTGAAATAACATAAAAAACGAGCACATAAGAAATTCTCATGAATGAATACAATACAAGACAAAGTAATTATAATGTCATTGTACCATGAATTACTCACTTATTCTTTACATATTCACTCATGCCCTCCCGAAAAGTTTTTGGAGTAACAATATAAAATAGCATGCGTATTAGAGCAACACCTAAAAAAATGCACATAATGTAGCATGAGAAATTAAGTCATTTTAGAACAATCAGTTAACTATTTATTGAATTTTACCTTTATAGACATACAGAGGGTAAGTAACTGAGTCAATTTTTTCAGCGTCCTTACTATTACGAAAATTCCTGACAAAATCGTAGTCAAAATCCATAATAGGCTGTACATGTTGCACAACGAAAAGCTCCATTACCGGAAATTTTATCGACATCTACAAAAACCGCCGTTGCAATTAAATTAAATGTGACATCGATGAAGATATTCACGAAATAAATAAATATTTTTTAAAGATTAATGAGAAGTATTTACAAGCGCTTAACTGTGTTATTACGAGATCAACAATGTACTTTAACTGTAAAACCATAAAATGTGCGTTCTATTAATGTCAGTGACATTAATCAATGACATACAATAATCAGGAGTGCTGACCTGGGACACAGCATAATAACTGTAGAACAAGACGAGCATTTCGTTTAACGATGTGTCACTGTAGCTATTGTTACTGACTGAATAAAAAACTTGATATACCAATTCACGTGCTATTAGCAACATAATCTGCAATCGTCGACCAGAAAAATCCAATGTCTCGTTGAATAGTATATCTCGTTCTCTGTAAATTGCAAGGAACATATTTATATCAGAACTGTTTTGTCATGAGAATATGCACAATTTAATTCTCAGTTTTTTTCAAATTTCCCTAATATAGCATAAGGAATAGTCATAAGGAATATTTGCTGTTTAGATACATTATTAGTTATGAAGAGATGAAAAATACGATATTCTAATCTTTTCTTCGTTTTTTATAATATATTATAAAATTTCAAATAAACCATGTGTGAGTACTTGAAATTCTACTCGTGAACATGTTCTCTGAGCGTTACAGTTATACAGTGTGTCCTGCTTAAAATATGTTGAATATGAAAAGGATCAGATTATATTACATTCACAGAGAAAGAGAGAGAGAGAGAAAGAGAGAGAGAGAGTGAGAGAGAGAGAGAGAGAGAGGAAGTCTGAATTTCACTGTAAATCGATCATTATTTTACAGTTTCACATTAATTTAATCTGAAATTCAGGTTAAACCTTATGCAATATTATCCTTTTTTATCTATCGCTTTAAGAAAGATTGAACTGTGATTGGCGAAAACATATGAATACTTTCGTTTTTTAAGCGAACTTTTATAATAATAACGGAACAAATAAAGAAAAAACATCAGCAGTTTATCAGTCCCTCGAAGAAAAAGTAAAATTTGTACTTAAAGGAATTATATTAACGACAATCCCGACGTATCTGAAATTTCAGAGAAAAATCCTAAAAAGAAGAAAAAATATTGTACGTGGTTCAATCATAAAAAATATATGTGGTTCTATCATAAATATTCTTCACAACTAGTATTTCAAATAATACATATGATGTTAACGCAAAGCTTAATCAACTAATATTTTAGTAAAATTGAGGAAATAGGAAAAGTTTCTCAGACAATATTTGTATGATTTCTAGTAGAACAAAAATGATAATATTTACGTTAATATTTAATATTTAATATTTACGTTAATTTGAAAGAGGACTTTGAAATATCATGTCAAGATCATCTATAATTTCTTTAATGGCATCGTTTACTAAATAAAATTATTTCTAGAAAAAATACAAAATATTAAATTTGATTTTATTTATTAACGGGTGTGCGTACGTTTTTCGATTAAAACTAACTATTGCAATATATACGTATCATCAAATTCTAGGTGTCAAATAACTTTTTTGGTTCTAATAATTTGTGTGTAAGATTTTAATTATTATCGCTTACTTGTACACGATAAGTCCAGGTTTTCCCACAGATTTCATTTTAGTATTCAAAACTACGTGGTCAATTTTCTTAATTACGTTCGTAAAATTCATTTGCATTATGTCAGATAGTATGGACGTTAAATTTGCAATACTGGTCTTTGCCAATTGGAGCTTGGCGGTTTTAATTCGGGATGTGATATCGAATAAATCTTCTTCGTGCCAAAAATAGTTAAAGTTCATTTGTTCAAGTTCACTTATGAGATCAACTATCACAATCCCTATGAGATATGTAGGCATTGAGAGCATTTCATGAAAAATTTCCTTTTGTACACCATATATATCAGTTGTTGTCTTCAATACAGGTTTATTCGAAAAAACTTCTGTGCTATTAGGATGTTTGATTGAAATGTTGAAGGATGCCCTCACTGCTGGATCGTCCCAGCATGGAAACATTGCTCGTATCGCATTGCGTTGATACATGTTTGTAATCAACAACCTACTATATTTTAACAACAAGCCATTAATAATAATAAATTTTTACCTCTTTTTTAACTTATATACAGATTACTTAGTATACTACATTTATAAGGATGCCATAGAATTGACGTTACGTAAAAATGTTTTCAAATATTTTAGAACCTATACATTTTATACAAAAATTCTAGCTCATTATATCATTAAATAAGTAAAAAATATTTCTTAACGGTCTAGAAAGTTTTTAAGAATGTTTCATGTTATAGATCTACAAAATGTTTTAATTATTGAAGAAGATTGATATTGAAGAATTCTCTATATATAATTTTATTTATTTTCTTTTCAATTTCATAATATTTCAACATGAGTACTTACGGAATATTATTGGTTAGAAATGAATATTGAATAACGCCGAGTTGTTCTCTCAAATAGCTGAATTTTAAATGCAAATTATATTTCCCAGGATATAAATTCTCATCAAAAAGCAAAATCAAAATCTGAGCTCCATCACATTTTTTATGCTCTTTTAAAGTATATAACACAATCTCACTTTCATCTTTTTGCCCCGAAAATTGAATGAATAATGTAAGTTTTGTGTAGTGATAGTCTACATTCAGTCCGTGCGAATGCAGATGAATGACTTTTGTTCGTTTCCGCACAAGAAACGTGATCTTTGACATGCCTGATATAAGTCTATAACCGAACCTTATATCGAGTTGAATGTCATATTTTATCGGGGCTACTACACTGATCGGTAAAAGTCCGGAAATATTTGAACAATATTTGTCATCTTCCAGATTAGTATCAGCATTGGTAGTATCAGCTATTTTGATGGTGAATATCAGAATGACACGAAAGAGTAGTTTCAAAGATATTACTCGCATCCTTGCAATATCTACACAAAAAATTTAATTAGTATCAAGGAAAATTATTTAATATATAAAATGTAATATGCACAACACATTCTTTCATAGTTTTAATTTTTGTTATAACAAAAATATAAAAAAGAGAAAGGCGAAATAGAGAGAGTTCCCTTTATCAGAAAATTTTTATATTATATTAACGTGTCACTTATTTTTCAAACAAAGTACACGCAAAAAAAATTTCATTTGGTGCAACCAAATAAGAACCAACTGAAAATTAAATGATCAGAAGCGTTATCTTTGATAACTTGAAAACGTTATCTTGAAAACTAATATTTCTGTTGCCGCAACCAAAAATATTCTTCTGATATTCAGCGATATGCTGAATATTCATTCAGCGATATTAGAACTCTGTTCAAGCAACTGAGAATAATTGAACAAGAATTTCATAAAGAAATTTTTCTATTCCTACAGCCAGGTTTGACTAGCAACCGAAAACTCAGTTGCATCACGGAATTATTTTTTCCGTGTAGGTAAACATTCTTACATTCTGCTAAAAAGACAAAGACAGGTTTTAAGGAAAACAAAGTAACGGTAATTGTTAGGTATCAGAGGCATCTTAAATAATATTTTGGAAAGATTAAACACGCGAAACTGTGTATACGATATGTATATGAACGCGTTATCGTTTACGAACTCTGAAATATTATAATTAAAAAATCTCAGATACTTTGTGCGGGTATGCAATATGAATATGTTGTTTTCGATGAAAAATTGTAAAATTTTCCAGGTTTGTTCAGAAAAAATACACAAAATTATGTTTACTAATCTTAATCGTTCGTTCGAAAATTTTAATCTCCACTGGGCTATCACACATACACAATAACTATATGAAAACTTTTCTGTTTCTGTGCTTAATTTCGTGTTTCAAATTTATACTAATAATGTTTTCTCTTATTAATTATATATTATTATACTCAATACGCGTCAATTGTTTTAAGTTTCTAAGTTCGGGTAATTTGAAACTCTTGTGTCTTACCTTATCGACAATTCGCTGCAAAGTAACCGGGATATCAATATTTTCCAAAGTTAAATAATCGAATTAGGTTACTGCTATTGTATCCAAAAAGCGTCCTTCGTCAGTATACACTATACTGTTACGAGTAATCTATCAATAGAACGAAATTATATCTTAAAATCGGCTCAAATCAATTTCTTGCAAAAGAATTACTCTACCGCTATTAAACTTTATTTTAAATAATATAAAATATATAGATAAAATAGGAGGAGGAAAGAGAGTAAATTAAACCGGGTGTGACTGATTTGACCGGGTGTGAATGCAATTGCCAATATTAACTGAAACGATTGAGACAATTTTAAAAAATATCGTCAATATTAACACGCAGTTCTATATTGTTTAAAAAAAGTGATATACTTTAGTTAATTAAGTGATTAATATATTTGGTTAATTAAGTGATTAATATACTTTGGTTTATGAAACCAAATTAAGAAATTAACTGATTAATATCGACTTATTATTTGCATATTAGCAAATTGAGATATCTTAATTTCTCATTTTCGCTATATATATACAGAGTATTAGTTAAGTATGTTGCTATACTCAACAGAGCGATTCTTTGGTTTATTTCAAGTTCAAAAGTTTCAAAAAGTTTATATAAACATGTGTCCTAAACGTCTTAGTTTCCGAAATACAGGTCAATGTTCGTAAATGTTTGACGAAACGGTAAATTGCGTTGGAGATATCTTCCTGCATAAATATGTCTTACTTTACGTGAGTTACCATTCGCACTACCGTAAACAAAGTGACAAAGTCAAAGTTAAAGTCATAAAATCAAAAATAAACTTCAGTTCTGATGTTGCTGCGAGTCGGTTAGCTTGTGCATACGTCTTCTAAATTGTTTCAGTCTATCAAAATCAGTTTTATCATGCCTAAGTTTACAAATTTTGAAATGGCAGATATGCACTTTGCCTACGGTCTTGCAAATGGTAACTCTCGTGAGGCAAGGCGTATTTATGCAGAAAGATATCCCTAACGCAATTTACCATGTCGTAAGACATTTGCGAATATTCACCGCTATCTTCGAGAAAAGGGTTCTAAGGGTTGTAAGGAACACTATTGATCTTAGAAAGTCTATGACAGTTAAAACACCAGTACTAGAGGAAGCTGTTCTAAACGAAACAGATTATTACTACACGTTTAAATTTTTTTATTTCGGAAACTAAGCCGTTTAGGACATATGTTTATATAAACTTTTTTACTTGAAATAAACCAAAGAATCGCTCTGTTAAGTATGGCAACATACTTAACTAACACCCTGTATATATATTTGCATAAAAAATTTTATTGGTAACTGACAAATATGTTGAATATACGTGATATGACAAGATTTAGTTTGACAGCATTGACTGTATTGATTGTGATTAATAACTTTTAATCTACTGTCTTTTATCACTATTATAGGTTCCTAGCATAATATTTCTTCTTCTTTACTTCTTCTTCTTCTTCTTAAGTAAAATTATTTTTCATAGTATGCCAAAGAAATATTGTATATACAATGGATTGGTAATAAAAGAATGCACAACATATAACATCATACATGTATTTCATATATATAGTTTGGACAAAAATAAATATATAATAATTATATAGTTTGAACAAAACTGATATATCACGACCCATCGAATTAGAGTTACAAATTATTCGCGTTTTAAGATTTCTTTATTTGCATCTAGTTTTGAAAGTTGCTTGTGTCATTTTGATACTTCCACTGAATCGGACTACAATAAAACTAATTTATTTATTTATCTTTAAAATATTTAAACTTGTCCAAGATTTTTTTCAATTGTTTTTTACGTGCCGAAATTAAGACTTCAATGCTATGCGCTATAAAGCCTCTCGAGAAGCGACGTGAGAGGTTTTCTATACGTTTTTCTATCTGAAACGGATAATATTTATATTAATAAACAATAAATATAGCATTTGAATCCATTTATGTAACAGTCATGTTTTAACCTGTGTTTTCTCTTTTAAAAAATAATTTACTAACTATTACTACCATCTCGACACAAAAGAGAACTAAATGCTAAGATTTAAAATTTAGCCACGTATAAGATTTTACAACTATATGTAAATATTTGAAATTTCTATAGTATAATCGTACAAATTCTAATATTTGTAAAAATTAAAATTATAATTAATTATAAACTAAAGAAATCATATAAGTACAGAAGAAATTAATATTATGACAAAGTCAGGTTTAAATAATATAATTCAATTTTATGAGTGTATTTTTGTATTTTATGAATGTATTTTTGTATTTTAATAATGTGATAGTATATTTTTAGTGATTTAATATATGTCTAAAATGCCGTTATATCAGCAGTACACAAAATGTCTGAAATTCCCTAATGTATGATTATTTACTTGAATCTACTGGAAAGAAAGCAATTGATTTTCACAGACGTGATTTAAATTTAAATTGCAGCGTTTATATTATTCCGAGCAATGCATAAAAAATTGAGTCAATGTAGAATCTATAACGGCCAATATAGAATCTTTCTGTCTATAGGTCTGTTCTTTATAGCTGCACTACTGAACCAGTGCAATATATTGAAGTGAGACAAATATAAGTTTTCTCACTCTAACTTATCGCACTAGTTCAGCAGTGCAGGTACAAAGAACAGGCCTTATAACACTCAACCGTTGGTCAACTAATATGTGTTGCTAGGTACATGATACCTTCATAAATAACAATAAAAGAATGTCCGATTAATTATTATTTATGAATAAAAATTATCATTTATATAACTGCCTTTGTCGAGATATATTATTTTTTATTTAAACATCTAATCTAAATTTATGTATCCGACATACATATGAATAAATAAAAATAAAGAAGTAATTTAATCATGTCAATAAATCAATGTAAAACTTACTACGTCGAGATTTTTGTAATAATACGAATTCATGATAAGTTCACCAAGTAGTTCGTTGTCACTTAGATTAAACCTATGTAATTAAAAGAGAAATTCAATTCATTATTACCAGATTCAATTAAATTTCACAATGGTAAAAAGTTTACAGTATGTGTATTGAAGAAGTACCTTGTTTTTATGTCTACATAATTATTTAAGATATGGACAACTACGTTATATCTCTTTCCATGCTGCTTTACAATAGAACGATAAACATCTTTCTTATTTAAGCGCGGATTCTTTCGAAAATCTGTAGTCAAGAGAGATGAGATAGCGAGATCGTCTTCAGTACAATGCAAGTAGTGTAAAAGTTCCGAATCAGTATTGGCAATGCTTTCATTCTTAATTTTATTCCAAAAGCTCATGTTTACTTTCATCATACCCGTACAAAATACCCAGTCTTTCAACCATAAGAGCATTTCATGATCTTGTCTAAAAGAAAAAGTGGTTAAATTGGACTAAACTTGTAGTTATTTTCAAGCAATCACATTTTTTATTGTTCTAATAAAAACCTAATAATTTCAATAATATTACATTAAATTATTTTCCCAAACTGCTATAGTGGCACTTGTCATGAAAATAATTTTCCTATAATTACTTAATTATGTAATCATACTGCTTAATATAAGAGGATTGGTAGAAATATATACAAATTTTATTGAAATATTATAATTTTATCTGAATTTATCATTTCTATCCAGAGAGAGAAATTTGCAATTAAAAACATAATTGGAAATTTATTTCAAATTACATTAAAAATTTATCAATTCCTCTCCCTCTGTTTTACTTTTTATATTGTTTTATATTCTTTTTACTTCATAACATGTTTTGAATGATTAAATATATTATATTAAAAGATTAAATATTTATCTAAGTACACATGCTTTTTTCCATGTACTTTAATTAAATTTTTTAAGCAAGAATAGTCATAAATAAGAAATTCTCGCTGCTACAGTTCATTTGAAGAACCTTCCATACAGCCTAATAAAATATGTATTTATTTATATAATTATGTAAAACAGACTTAGTTTATTTATTACGTAAAAAAAAGAATTATCTTTTTATCGCACATTTATAACGATAACTTCTAATAAAAAAATAGCGCATCATACATTTGAAACACTGGTTGCGAATGTGCTAAGAATGTGCTAAGAGAAAACAAAAATAGGTGACAATTGTAAAGATTACCTATACTTCTCACGACTCTGGACATAATCAATTAAATTTTTGGTAGCTTTATCTCTACAGCCGTTGTGACCAATCTTGCAGGCCCATTTCATACCTAACCATCTTAACGCTGTTTTCGTAGGATCTTCATAGGATTTTTCCTCGTATCCTAAATTACTAAGAAGTCCATCTAGGATATTCATAAATTTCATCTAAAAGCACAAATAACATTAATTCGTCAGTAATGCATTACTGCGAAGAGTACTTATTTCTGTACTTAGGTATATATGTGACTACAAAATTTCTTTTCAAATTTCTAAATGAGGTACTATAACTTTCCAAAACTTTTCCATACTTTTGGACAACCTCGTGTATTATATAAAAGCTAGATCAATTAGTTAGCAGAATTAGTAGTTACTCACTTTCACAAATTCCCCTTCTAAACATTCCATGTAAGCCGACATATCTAGAAAAATATTTAACATGGGATACCACGCTAAATAATCAGTTTCCCGCCTTAAATATTTGATAAGATGAAAAAATACATCAGACTCAGAATTATTACTATTAATTTTAAAGTAATACGCATCATTTATCAATTGAGCACGGTTGAGGACAGGTACCAGTGTAAAACTGTTATTGTTTAAAAACGTATAAATTCTTCTCCAATTTTCATGGTTGTAATTAACACGATAGTAACCTGCCGCAAAAGATATCAAATATTTTATTCATAATAATATGCAAATCGTGTTTACTTGAAAAAGAAAAATTTTTATATGATAAATTTAACACTATCTTTTCTTTCATTTATATATTAACATACAATATTTATGTATTATATTAATATGTTATATTTAATATTTATGTTCTATTATTAAATATTTTAAACGTAAATCAAATATTCCAACTGCGATAATAGTATTATAAAATATTTCGAACTGTATTTTACGAATATTGCAAATATTGTTAAACCTAGACATTGCTTCGATTTATTTTAATATAAATTAGAAATATGTAATATTCTATAAATCTTTGAAACTGTTATAGAATAGATAATTAAGCGATAAAAATTAATAGAGTCATACTTACCTAACTGCTCTACATTGAATATGATGAAATCTGATCTAGGAATGTCATAAATGATTAATGTATCATCCTCAAGCCAATTAACAGTCAAATTACGAATCGAAACATTGTAGTAAATAAGGTTTGACTGTATAATACTAGTTACAGGTATCTTCCATGTGTAGTTTCCATGATAATGGTATGAATAATAACACGTCGCTATATTATTGTAATAATTACGAAAAACGTACAATTCAGGATAATATTTTTCCTTTAGCCATGTATCCATCGTTGTTTTCAATGAATTATTTTTTTTTAAATGTATCGAATTGAACGATTGCATGACGGTCCAGAAGTTATTGGTTCTGCCAAAGTAAAATTAACCGCAGATTGAAACTTGTATGTAGAGTATGATCTGAAGCTTAATAATAGACTAGATTAAAACACATATTAAGATTACCGTCCCACCTCGTGGCTATATAGGTTATCCCACCTCTGGTGTAAAATCTATTAAGATCAAATTTTTAAGGAAATCTTAAGGTGAAAATTCTACTGTGAAAATGTCGAGACCTAAATAATTTTGAGACAAGAGAGAACTTAAGATAAATTATATATGTTAAATTATATTAATTGTTTAATTGTATTATATTGCAAATTATTCCAATAGTTTAAGCTCGCACACTTAAGAGTGATGCAATGCGCCATAGTAAGGCGACACATGTATCACTCCATTTTTATATTAGAATGTAAATTATGTAAATACGTCACAGTAATAAATTTATCTTTATATTCTTATCAAAATATAGAAAATATTTAAGAAGTAAATAATTTCATTCTTGTCAAAATTATTGCGAGCACAATGCGGCAGATAAAAACATGAAGTTTTTATCAAATTTTAGATCTGACCTTTAAAGATTCCCTGCGACAGTTAAAACATGTATAATTAAACACACACACACACACACACATATATATATATATATATATATATATATATATAAATTTGTTACAAACGATAATTGGACTGAATCATTTTACAATTTAACAAACAGTCAGTCATTTGTTGAACATGCTAAAACCGAATATATATAAACGCATTTCAATGTAGTTGCGGCATGACACTATGTGTTTATAATATTACAATAAATTACTCACCCTCCTTTTAGATATTCCACAATGCCTTTATTAAAATCTTCTTCAGGTAAAATATAATGCAACAACCGAATTAGAGAGGCCACTACGACACAATAAAAAAAGTGAAGCTTATGATATAAAACCAGACCGACCGGATCGATCAATTAGCTATATTTACTAGTCTCACCTTTATTGTAATATAGACGACTGTGAAAAAGACCATCGATTTCGTCGAGGATGTCGAATTTATCAATAACCTGTATCATTCCTAAATGTTCTTCATTATTGAGCGCAGGCTGTAGATGTTTAACTACGAAGAGATCCATAAGTAGCTGATCTCTCTTAACCTAAAATAATTGGTAAGATTAAATCAATGCAATATTAAAAAAGATACTTGAATATATAAATGAGAGAGTAAATAATATTTAATTAATATGTCATTAACATGTCATTAACTGAAAAAAGTATTAACAAAGTATTTACGAAAGTATTTACGAAGGTATTTACAAAAATTGTATTTAGGAATTCGCACGATATCAATAATGTTAACTCCCAAAATTCGTGATCGTGATCGTGATTCGTCTTTTCTCAGTTAAATCAAAAAGCTTGATTCGATTTGTTGCAGTTAAATATAAAATCAAATTATTTTCAAGAAAAGACATAATTATTAATATTATCAACGAATCAGTCACCGCCTGTATTGCTTCACCAATGTTCTGCGCGTAAAATATTATTAGTATTGTTGCTTGTATTACATGTATGTGATATCACTACATCAATCTTTTTAATTGAAGTAATATTAATGTTAATATGAAATAACCTGTGATGAAATTAAATAACCGTAGAACAGCGAGATTGCCTCCCTTAATAACCAATCATCATGCACTTCGGCACCAAGAAACCATTGACGCCCTACTTGGTGTGATAATAAAGTCAACATATAAGTTTCTCGACCAGCGTAATGATAAGTTTCATTGTAGAAAAGATCTTCCTCCCTAAAAGTTATTATTACCATTTAGTTTTGTTGTTATGATCATTTAGAAATAATCATGTATATATGCATCATCCATTGTTCCTCTGTGCATTTTAAATATATTTATATATGTTTAGAATATACTACTGCTAACAAATTGAAACAACATGCATTGTTTTAAACCGTGACGTACCCCAAACTACTGCTAAAATAAATTCTTTCTATTGAGGACTAGCGCAATGGTATATGAAAACCTAAAAACCTTTCGCGGTAACTTTGTGCAACTTGTGAACAAGGAATTAATATACCATTTTGTTTATTTCGGAGTGAAAATACAGAAATTAATTAAATTATATAAGAGAATGGAGATGCACGGGAAATAATATAATGGACTCTGCAGAAATACTTAAAGAAAGATTACTTTTCTACAACTGGTAAAAAAGATATCTTACTACTTAGGATCTTGTAGTACGACGAATATCAGTTGAAGGCAACAGGTGCACTTCTTTTTTTCTCACCACTCATTCCTTACTATATTAATCTATATTTCAGCTAATTCCCTCCATTTTTAGAAGATTCTTATAAGATACCTTGTAAGATTTCCTATAAGATAACTTTCTTTTAAACATTCTTTCTTTAAACGTATTGCAGATTCCATTCTACCACCCTTATAGAAATATCATACTAAGAATCATTGATAATTACTTGTTATCCAGTATTTTTAATACTGAAAATAAGTAATTATCAATGATTCTTAGTATGATATTTCTATAAGGACATTTCCCGTGCGCTCATGCTTTCCTTATTGTTTAATTAATTTCTTGATAGCGAAATTTGCAAAATAGAATATATAGTTTTCCTATTCAGTTAAATGTCTTTTACCAGCACATGTCAAGCAGTGGTTGTCTCTCTTCTGAAGAGAGACGCGTTCCGAAATCTACAAAAAATCGGTGCACAAACCTTTTTTAGACCACGAGTGTACATCCTAAATATATGTTTATATATATTTAGAATATACTACTGCTAACAATTTAAAACAACATGCATTCTTTTAAGTTGTAACGTAGTCCAAATTACTGCTAAAATAAATTTTTTCTATTAAAGACTAGCACGAGGGTCTATAAAAATCTAAGGACCTCGCGCAGTAATTTTGTGCGTAATTTTCTGTTCAACTTGTAAACAACGAATTAATGTACCATTTTGTTGATTTCACAATAAAAATACAGAAATTAATTAAATTATATAAAAGAATGTATGCACGGGAAATAATACATTAGATTCTGGACTATTTAATGAAAAATTACTTTTCTTACAACTTGTAAAAAAGATATCTTACTATTTAGGATCTCGCAGTACGGCGAATATTAGTTGAAAGCAAGAAGCATACTTCTTTCTTTCTCGCCATTCATTCCTTACTACGTTAATCTACATTTCTCCATCAGCTAATTCCCACAATTTCTAGAAGATTCTTATAAGATATCTTTCTTGCAAGCATTCTTTCTTTAAATATACTGCAGAGTCCGTTCTACCACTTCCCGTGTCCTCACGCTTTTCTATTGTTTAATTAATTTCTTGATAGCGAACTTTGCAAAATATAATATATTGTTTTCCTATTCAGTTTGATCTCTTTTACCACCACATGAGCATTATGCCTTGAATTGTGAGACAATAATTGTGTATGTACTTATACGGAAAAAATACTGTTGCAAAAATTTTATTAAAGCAATTGCTCACGTTTACAGCAGTTATGATGTTAAATATCTAATTGAATTAAAGTTTATTTCTTTTTGTTATTCAACAGTTTTTTTCTCAATGACATGCTTATGTATTATTGCATACATAGCCATAGAGAAAAAATTTATATATAAGTTACATATAATTATTTTTCATCAAAAACATTGGTGTTAAGTATTACTTCGCATATGACCAATTTATGTGATAATATTTTAATTATGTGTGTTGTATATACCTATAAATAATAACTCCAGGACGTGCCATGACCTCCATTACAGCATTTGAAAGCAAGACGTGATCGACTTTTATTTCCTCCTTAAATGAATGCATGAGTATATTGTACTCACGTGCTGCCGCTCCTAACATTTCCCACATCTTCTTTAACAGAATTTGATGAATATGATCATATCTGTGATATACAGTGTGCAGTCTTGTTGTCATATCACAGTATACCATTCTATCAATTACTGTAATCGACAAGAGATGAGTTGGTATTCTATTAATTTCTTTGAATCGCGACGTTTGCATGTTGCTTCCAGTGTTTTCCGCTAAAGGCGTAATCAAAAAAGCTTTGTACGTTCGAAAATGTGTGATTGAGATGTTGAATGTCGTTTTAACTGCCGGATCGTCCCAACATGGAAATATTTCTCGTATTGCCTTTGGTGTATAATGATTCGTGAACCTATCGTATTTTAATAATATACCGTTAAAGAAACAAATTTCAGTTGTGTTTTTATCATTCATTTATATGCCTTGATATAAAATGTTCATGACGCTTTATACACGTATGAAACATTCCATATGCATTATCTACGCAAAGACTTTATATAAAGACTTTGAAACATTAAATTTTAAAAACAAAAACACATAATTTGATCAATGTTCCTAAAAGTATTCAAAATATTTTCGTAAAATGTCAAACCGATTATTTATAAGTTCTGAATTAAAGAGCAACACGTGAATCGCACATACAACGATTAATTATCATAGCAAAATCTTCTGCTATTGATAAAGTTTGTATATTTACGTAGAGATAATATCCTTTAACCGAAAACTTCAGTTAACGAATTTGAGATTCTATAGAAATATTGGAGATAGTTGTATGGTATTATAAAATTTCAATGAATACGAGATCACAGCATCGATTTGTAAAAATTTTTGTTGGAGTTTTTTTCATAAAATACATTGTAAAGCGTTCAAGAAGATATCACTAAAAAAGGTCTGTGATTAACTTCGAAATTTAGTAATTCTAAGAAGAGTGTAGGATATCAAAAAATTCCAATAATATTTCTCATTAAGATAAAGAAAAGTTTGTTGAAATGAACAATATTCAATAGCTAAAAGTTACGTTTACCAATTTATGACGTATTTTAACATATACTCACGCTTGATAACTAGGGTCCCACAAATATGATTTAGGTTTGATCCTTTTATTTATATATAAAATAGATTTGTATTCTATATTCAAAATATATTTGCCAGGTTTTATAAAGTCGTCAAAGATCATAACCCAAATCTGAGCTTGAGAACATTCTCCAAACATCCTCAGTTCATAAACCACTTCGCCCGGTTTACCATATGTTTCAGGTATCTTCATAATATTTATGTTGTTAAATTCTATTTCCATTCCATAAGAGTTCAGACTTATATTTTTCGTAGTTTTTTTCACGTCAATAGTGATTTCGGATGTGCCTGATATATAACGGTTAGGCGGCTTTACTACGAGATCAATTTTATAATTTATTGGTTCCACTATATTGATCGGTAAATGATGGGAAATCCTCGAACAATCTCTGGGATCTATATTGTTAGCTACTACGACGATAAATAGCAGAGCTACATTGAGGAGTATTTTCAAAGCTTCCATTTTGCCATAAATACCTGCACAATCAATTTAATCACTAACAAAGCTATTGAATAGACATAAAAAATCCAATATGACGATATTTTTCCCTATTTTTAATTTTTACTGTCATAAAAAAGTTGAAAAGGAAAGAAGAGATGAGCGCAATTCATCTTAATAATGTTTACATATGTATTACATTATTAAGTGTATTATACAGGAACATGTCCCAGCATAAGCAGAACACAATTTGATCGGTTCGGAAATATCATATGTTGAAATGTAGAAAGAAAATTTTTTCCAATCATTTTTTCGAATTTTTTAAAATTAATTAAATATTTTAAGTATTTGTTTTTTAGCAAAGCATGTATTTTTTTCTATTATATCTAGTAGCGGATGTTGAAATGCATTGAAGCAAGTCTAAGTTATGATCTCAATTAAATAATAGGAAAAGGC